GTCTCAGTCAGACCACTAATTCTGGTCTTTTTACTAGAATTTGAGTTCTGCACCCCACTTTTCTCCTGCTCCATCAGGGACTCTCTGTTGTGTTCCCTGTTAGGGTGGTCATTGTGGAAGCTGGGCACCATCTAGTTCTTCTGGTCTCAGGCTGATGGAGTCTCTGGTTTATGTGGCCCTTTCTGTCTCCTGGGCTAATATTTTCCTTGTTTCTTTGGTGTTCTTTGTTCTCCTTTGCTCCAGGTAGGTTAGGACCAATTGATGCATCTTATATGGCCGCTTGCTAACTTTTAAGACCCCAGATGCCACTCACCAAAATGGGATGCAGAATATTTTCTTAATAAACTTTGTTATGCCAATTGACCTAGATGTCCCCTGAAACCATGGTCCCTAGATCCCTGCCCCTGTTATTCTGTCCCTTGAAGTGTTTGGTTGTATTCAAGAAACTTCTTAGCTTTTGGTTTAGTCCAGTTGTGCTGACTTCCTCTGTAGTGTGTTGTCCTTCCCTTTACCTAAGATAATTCTTGTCTACCATCTAGTTAGTGAATACCACCCCTCTCCCTCTCTCCCCACCCTTGTAACCATCAAAGAATGTTTTCTACTGTGTTTAAACCTTTTCTTGAGTTTTTGTAACAGTGGTCTCATAAATATTTGTCCTTTTGCGACTAATTTCACTCAGCATAATGTCTTCCAGATTCATCCATGAGTAAACAACCTTTAAATTGACTTTGACGTGGGCATGCTGTGATAAAAGCATAACATAGTTAATCTTTGTAAACTAATCTTGAAACACAATTCCACACAACCTCCTTAATCTGTAACCTTGAAGAAAGAATGTGTTATGAGGCTAATCTTTAACCCTGGAGAGAAGATGTAACATGCTAGTCTTTGAGGTCACACTGGCTCTTCCTGTGTGAGGCCAAGGTAAAGTAGTCACATAAAAATCCTGAATTTCTGCTCATTCAACTAGAGAGGGGCAGAGACAGAACCTCCCAGTAGAGTCTGACTCCCTCTTAAGACTGAGACTATGGACTGAGACTTTGTCCACTGCCATCAACGTCGGACCCTAGCTACGAGGGACCTCCACCTTCTTCGAGCCATGCTCAAGCCTTCCTCCTGAGACCACTGGTTAAAGGTAAATGCCTATGTCTAAAAATTTGAACTCTTAACATTATAATTGTTAATTATGATTCTCCACCTCTAAAAAAGAATGTCTTGAGGTCGTACTTGTTTATCCATGTCAAACCTGAGTATCTGTAATAATTTCTAAGATAAAAATCCTACAAGGGAGGTGTCCAATATTCACAGAATAAAACACAACACATAATCTCCCTGGGCCCCACATTTTTCACCTCTCCACCCCCAAACCAGTCACAGTCCGACTCTTCAATGCCCCTTCAAAGAAATCTCTTAATAGGGAATCTGTATTTGCTGCTTCAATTGCCCTTTATTCTGGTCACTTTTGTTTATTAAAACAGAGACATTTAAGAAAAAAAATAAACTATGAGGATATATCACATTCCCCACTTAGCTGACACCAACTGTGTGGAAAATATCAAATTTCACTTTTTCACTTCGTTGCCCCCTCTGTTCTGCCATTACACACGCAGCGCTTCTTCCTCTGACCCGAACCACCTGGAGCTAGAACTCACAAGTAAAGGGCACAATCCTTCAGACTGCCATGTCTGCCCAAGACTTCAGATGCCAGCTGCAAGCTTGTGAGTCCCCATGATTGTCACTCTGACCTGCTGGCTACAAATCTGGGAGTTTCGTCTACCCCCTTCAGGATACTAGCCATAAGTTCAGGGGTCAAGAACCCCCTTACTTCTGACCTACTGGCTCCCACTACTCACTTGGGTTTGATCATTTGCTGGAACTCACAGGACTCATGTATAATTATAGCTTCATTACAGCAAAAAGGATAGAAAAGAAGAGACACATAGGGCAAAGTCTGGGGGAGTTTCCTACGCGGAGCTTCCATGCCCCATAAAGGGACGTGCTACCCTCCCATATACATCGATGTCTTTCACCACCAACCAGGAAGCCCATGGAGATTCACTGTTTAGAGCTTTTACTGAGGATTTTTGCTATGCCATCAGGAGGTGGTCATTATGAGGTGGCATCACATGGTTGGTCCCTCCGGCCTGGCCAACCTCACCCAAGAGTCACCTCACCCGCATAACCTGTTGCTCAGGTATGGACTAAAGTCCTTATCAAAAACATTTAAGTTATTAGGAAAATTCTAAGACTTAAAGATTATCTCTTAGGACAAAGACCATATTCTTTGGGTAAGGTTAAATTCTAAACCCCACAGCAAGGTACATAAAATATAACAGGACAGTAATGTACCTACCACCCAGAATGAACAATTACTACACTGTGATTTTTTTTATTACATCGAAAAAACCTTCAATCTCATTTCTCAATTCCAGACACTATTATAAATAAATTCAATGTGTATCCTTCCAATATATTTTAAAGCACTGTGTGTGTAGAGGCGTATATATACAGATATATACGCCTCTACACACCCATCTGGATATAGATACCCAGAACCAAATAGTATCATTTGTATTTTTTTATTTACAATGAATGACATATTATACCTATACTAGAATGTCTGCTCCATGAGGGTTTGGACTTTGTCTTGCTCACCAGTGTATTCCCACTACCTGCCTGACACAAAGTACTCAGTATCTATTTGATGAAAATAATTCTGTAACTTCCTCTTTCCATTCAGTTTTAGCATTTTGAGGTCTATCCACTTTGATCTGTAGAGACCTAGTTTTAAGCCAGTAGAAAGATGACAGTATTTCAACTCTACAGGATATATGCAGAGAGGTTTTCTGCATGGAGAATAATACTACTAATTATAATCTGCTTAATGATCAATGTATCAGTCTTAAAACTAATACGTAATATCCTTCTAAACATTTAAAGATACCTTACATAAACCCTAAATATAATTCTGGAAAGGTCTCCTACTTAAATTATAATCACAAAAACTTAGTTAAAAAATTGGTGCTTCCATGAAATTACTAAAAAAACCACTGAAAACTCATTTAAAAAATTTAAATCCTACACTAGAAAATATTCTTAATGCAAGAGAAAGCAGTAAGAAGGAACAGAGAAAGAAAAGACATGAGAAACAGAAAACAAGAATTAAAATGGCAGGCATAAATGCAACTGTATCAATAATAGCATTAAATGTGAACAGATTAAACAGTTCAATCAAACAGCAGAGAATGTCTGACCAAAAACAAACCCAAGATCCAACTATATGCTGCATCTAAGAACACACTTTAAATTCAAAGATACAAATAAACTGTAAGTGAAAGGATGGAAATAAGATATATTGTGCAAACAGCTGCCACAAGAAAACTCGACTGGCTACACCAACGAGAAAATAGACTATAAAATAGAAAATGCTACTAGAGCTAAAGGAGGGCATTTTACAATGATAAAAGGATCAATCAGGAAAATATAACAACTATAAACAGATGTAACTAACAAAGCCCCAAAATACACAAAGCAAAAACTGACAGAAACAAAGGGACAATAATGGTCAGACACTTCAATACCCCACCTTTCAATAATGGACAGAACAAATAGGCAGAAGATCAATAAAGAAATAGAAGACTTCCGCATTATACACACCCACATTCCTTTCCAGCAAAGGTAAG